CTTTTGATGAATCCTTAGAGGCTTGTGATGGGTGTGGCCAGAGAGCTCTGTCCAGTTCTTCAGGGGTAAGGGTGTGCCAAAGATGACACAACCAGGTTAGGCATAGTAAATCTCCTCTCTCTTTTTTTTTTTTTTTTTTTTTTTTTTATTCAGAAGGGAAGTAATTCAACACAGCTGAGCAAAATTTAAGTCAGTCAGTGTCTGAGCTCTGGCCCCTGTGGGTATAATATTCGTCTGCTCTGTCCCAAGGACCACACAAAGGATTTGTGCAGTCCTCAGTGTAAGCTCAGATTCCCCTGCAGTCTCCCACCGGGTTGCCAAAGTTTCCGAGTTTGTGGCATCTCCTGAGAGTACTCACGTCTCAGGCACTCCGTGAGTTCTCTCACACACCCTCAGTTTTTTTTTTTTTTTCACAGTCTGAGTAAATAAGCTCCACACATTCACTAGGTCTTAACTTCCTGTTATATCTGCTCACCAGAGTCAGGTTTTTCTGCTTGGCTGAGGGCAGGCACAGCCCTGAGGTTGTGTAGCTTTTACGTATGTCAAAATGGTGCCTGCTCTTTGTCTTGCTCACCTTTGTAAGGTGAGTGGAGAGAGAGAATTGTGTCCATACCAGTCTCTTTTATTTATTTATTTTTCTCTCCTCTAATTAGCCTGGTGAATTTTCCCCCACCGGGCTTCAAGCCTCGTTCCCTCTAGGCTCTACCTGCCACTTCCCCGCCAGTGTCTTGGGCTACTGAGGTTTTGCCTCACCTCTCTTTCCAGCACCGGTACATAGACTCAGCTGCTGGGGTCCTGAGCCATGGGCACCTACGTGGACCTCCACGTAGGTCCACCATGTCCTACTTGTTCCAAAAGCGTTTCCTCTGCAGTTTTTTCCCTAACTCTTCCCTGAAACTGCAGTATCTCCACTTTTATTACACTGTCTTTTCCTGGACTATCAGTGTGTTCCCTTCCTATTCAGCCATCTTGGAGGACTCATAAATATGGAATTATAAATTTAAAACATTTTCTGGTTTAAAGAATAAATCTGGTAGTCAGTGCAGCTCTGTGGGCATCGGTGTCTAGTAGGGCCAGTCTCTATGCTCCTGGCGGTGCTCACCTTTATCCATTTTTCCAGGTCCTCCATGGCCACCTCTTCTTCCTCGCATCTGTACCATCAAAGGTCTGGGTGGACCCCCTGGGCCAACTCATCTTCCTCCACCAAAGCCACCTCGGTCCATGCCCCAGCCACCATGGAAGCCACCTCTGTCTCCACCACAGCCCACTCTGAACATTCCACCAGGCGCACCATGGTCCACGAGGCCACCTTTTCTACCCCTCATGCCACCACGGCTGCCTCTGCCATGATCTCCATCCGGGGGTAGGAAGGGTGGTAGCAGGAATCCCTCGGGCTTTGGCGCCTTACACTGGTTGCATTTTGTTCTCCAGGCAAAGTTCTGGTTTCATAGCCCAGGTTGGGACACTGCCAGTCTCCAGCTCGGTGCTGGACGTTCCCTCCTCTAGAAAGGTTCCCTTGGGAACCCCTGGCCCTCCCGGGGGGAAGCCGCCTCATTCTCCTCCATGACCTCCCATGCGACCCATGGGTCCACCAGGACCTCCAGGGCCACTTGGACCTCCACAGAGAGCGGTGGCATCCCTCGGCCCTCCTGGGGCAGCACACCACCCCACATGCTGCTCATTGGAGGCTTCTTCTGTGCCAGAGACACTTTCAGTTTGCTCCCTTGAAAATCTTCCCATCAAACCATTCCACAGCAGCCTTGGTGGTTGGGGGGTCTTCATAGGACACTGTGGCATCACGTTTGGGCTTTTCTGTCTCCTTGTCCAGGTATACGTGGATCATGGGTTGCCCAGTTATCTTGTTCATCTTAACAGCCCCACACTGCCTTAAGAAGTCTGCTAGATCATCCACAGTCACATTATCATTTAATCCTTGCACATAAATCACACTGTTGTCAGAGTCTTCAACCAGATCTACAGGTGGGCCTAGATCAAGATCTGGTTCTTCATCCATGGGTCCACCAGGCTTATTGAAGCCACCTTGCTCTCCAGCACTGCCCATTCCACCGCGTCCTCCTCCCCACCCACCTTTGCTCATGCCTCCACGATCAAATCCCCCTCTTCACATGCCCCAGTTATCAGGGCCACTCATGCTCCGGTTCTCTCCTGGTCCAGAAAATCCTCCAGACTCCTGCCCATAAACACCCATGCTACTGGGGTGGTCCTGTCAGAATGAACCCTGCTGCCCATAGCTGCTGCTTTGTTGGCTATATTGATTTGGAGCCTGGCTGTAGGATCCAGTTTGGGGGGGGGGGGTAACTAGTGGGAGGCTGCTGCCCATAGCTGCTTTGTTGACCATAGCTACTCTGCTGTCTATAGCTGTTCGGCTGCCTGTAGGTGTTCTGCTGAGAGTAACTGCTCTGATTGTAACTAGTTGGCTGGGAAGAGGAGTAGCTGGTAGAAGGATAGGATGGTGGTACGGTGACTGGCTGCATGGGGTAGCTCCCAGGTACCTGGGGATAGTTGTAGTTACTCTGTCCATATCCTAGGCTGGGCTGGTTGTAACCCCCAGTGCTAGTAGTTTGGGATTGACTAGTCTCTGCTGGCTTGTTACAATCCTGTGGTCTTGCAGGTGCAGTGTATGTGGGTTGCTGCTCATAGGCTGGGTAAGCAGGCTGAGTGCCATATGCAGACTGGGCTGCATAGCAGGCCTGGATGGTGGTGACTGTAGCAGTGGTAGTATCGTAAGCACAGGACAGACTGGCTGTATGCTTGGGGGGCAGTTGGAGTAGTATAACCAGTGGGAGGCTGTCTGTAAGAAGTTGCATAGGCCATCTGCCCATAGGTCTCAGTGGTCTGAGCCTGGCTATAGCTGACATCAGTGGGCTGTCCATAGATTTCATAGCTTTGTTGCCCATGTGCCTGGCTGGTCTGTGCATATTCTTGAGTGGGCTGGGCAGTGTAAGCACTGTAGCCCTGCTGGGCTGCAGCTTGGCTGCAGGTACTATAATCTGTGGACGCCATTTACTCCCCTTTCTCCTGGTTCTCTCAATGTCTGTCTCCCTCTCACTTTCCCCCTAGGTGCCATACTGCACAGGCCTCTAAATCTTTTGTATCCAAAACCCACCTAAATGATCTCAGAACTTGAGTTCCTCTATATACATAGCCAGAGTTGTAGATTTACCTATTGGTCACCTCGAAGCTGTACTCAACTTTCCATCCACATTAGGACTTTTGACTAAGATTTTTTTTTCAGGCAGAGTGGACAGTGAGATAGAGAGACAGAGAGGAAGGTCTTCCTTTGCCGTTGGTTCACCCTCCAATGGCCGCCACGGCCGGCGCGCTGCGGCCCGCGCACCGTGCTGATCCAAAGACAGGAGCCAGGTGCTTCTCCTGGTCTCCCATGGGGTGCAGGGCCCAAGTACTTGGGCTATCCTCCACTGCACTCCCGGGCCATAGCAGAGAGCTGGCCTGGAAAAGGGGCAACCGGGCCAGAATCCAGTGCCCCGACTGGGACTAGAACCCAGTGTGCCAGTGCTGCAGGTGGAGGATTAGCCTATTGAGCTGCAGCGCCAGCTTTGACTAAGATTTTTATCTCAGAAGTGGATGCACCGTCTGACAATACACTTAATTAAGAAGAGAACTAAGTTTTATTCCTTTTGTCTCTTATGCTTCGTGTTCAAGACTAAGTTCTTTCTACATGTCTTCTTGAATATTCTTTTAAATTATTATTTATCTTTTCATTGCCACCATCTACTGATCTCCCTGCCTCTAATCTTTTCTTCCTCTCATCAATTTATTAGTGTTTTTTTTTTTCAAAAAATTAAATTATATCAAGCCATTCACCTATTTAAAGTCCTTTAATATCTCCTTTTGGTTACCAAGAAAAGTTGAAACATTAAGTTGACTTTCAAAGCCTAAGTGATTTGTCACCTACCTGCACTTCAGTCTCACTGCTCCCTCTCTCCTCTACCCCTCAATGACAAGTTCCAGACTTTCCTGTGCTTTCATGTTCTTTCCCAGCTATATTTCTACAAGTTGTTCTTTGGTCAGCTTTTTTGTCCTCTGAGTAACGTTTTCAACCTTTGGGTCCCAATCTAAGCATCTAATCATATAGCAAATTATCTGCAATCACGCCGATAGATCCCTGGTCCTGTTTCCACTGTAGTGTCTATCTCACTGCAGTATAATTATTTTATTATCTGTCTTTCTCTACTAGTCAGTCATAGTCTTGATTGCCAGGACCGTATCTTATTGACAGCAATGTCTCACCAACTTTTCATTGTCACTGGCACATAAAAAATACTCTGTTTTAATATTAATTAACAAAAATTCAGCACTGACACTTTTGGGGACATCTGCCCATCACACAAAATTTAGTATTATATAAATTTTGAGATAAAATCGAGATGTCATATGTGTGCTTTGGAATATAGGAGCCTCCAAATTTGTTGACCCATACAATTCTGTGATAACATTTTTATAAATGAAAAAATTTGCAAATCAGCTGAGCTATTGAGGACAAACAGGCAAGAGGGGGTGAGTGGTCCTCCTCTGAGACTTTTGGAAGTGGGTGAGAAAATCCACTGATGTCATATTCCTTTGTTCTTTCCCTAACCTCTACTCAATTGCTTCTTTACCATATTTAACCATATTTAGGTTTTCCACCAAAGGTGCACTATATCCTTTCAGAAAAACCTAGATCACTAGATTTACAGAGGTTGAATAAGACCTGTTGCATGTTTCTGAGATGGGATAATAGAAGGTCCTTAAAATGGACATGAGGGTAACATCTACATAGAAAACAGAGCTTATTTTTCTAAAATTTATATTAAAGTATATTATCTTTCATTGGTTTAATCCAAGGATTCTGATTTTTGGAGATAACTTTGTTGCATTTATTTGTTTACTTTCTAGAAATTTCCTGAAATTTCTAGAAATTAAACAGCTTTTAGACATTTATATAAGACCCCATGCATACACAATAATTTTCTTGTAAAATTCTCTATTCAGTATTCAGCAATGATTGAATCTCAAGTTTTATTAGCCATAATGTCATTGTAGATAAATAACTATGTTTATATACTTACTAGAGTAAACCAAGATCATTAGTTGATGTTTCTACAATGAACTTCATCACTCAAAATTTGTATAGCCAAGTAGTAAATCATGCACATTAACATTTAATGAGTCTTGATAACAACATTCTCTTCATTTTATATATGTACATTGAATCACAAAATTATTGAATTCAGTTAATACACTTTGCTGTGAAATTTTCAAATGTGTTTCAGGGAACATCAAAACCCTTTTCAAAATGCATATAAACAAAAATCAGTTTTCAGTGTAGGAATGAGCCAATGCATACAAAAAGTTACAAAAACAAAAACAGTGAAATAATGTTTCATTTGTCTCAATAACAGATGCTTTTCAACTAACATCCTAATAAACCCATCACAAATTGAAAATATCATGACTCCAAAACATATTTAATATACCCAACTTCCAAAACAACACAAAAGTCATAGAAATATGAATTAAGTGTGGGAAGTTCTATTACAGCAGTGCTTAACTCCACAAAGAGGTTGCTATGACATAAAAATACACCCACACCGCAAAAACGACTCAGCCTCCTACCTAACTTCTCTAGTACATGTTACATCATCTCCTTCCTGGTTGCCAGGCAATACAGATAATGCCTGTCATATCTGGGTTGGGTGGACACCATGGAGGTAAAGCTCATGTCTCTAAGTGATGCTCATGAGTCATCAGGTTGCCAGTTTTGATGTTAATCCAGAGAATTGCCCCAAAAGTTTCTGCCAGGCCCCCTTCACCTCCTTATTCCTCAGACTGTAAATCATGGGGTTCAGCATGGGTGTCAGAATGGCATAGAAAAGAGAGATCAGCTTCTCTTGAAGAACGGAAGGCTCAGAGTGGGGCTGGATGTAGGTGAAAATGGCCATGCCGTAGCACAGGGCAACCACTGTGAGGTGGGAAGCACAGGTGTGGAAGGCTTTCTTCCTTCCTTCTGTGGACCGGATCTTTAGGATGGTGGAGATGATCTGGATGTAGGACAAAAGAACCAGGAAAAAAGGAGTCATAAGCAGGACAATGCTAGAAACCATGATTATGAGTTCATTGGCGGAGGTGTCCACACAGGCCAGTCTGACCACTGCTAAGATTTCACATGATATGTGATCAATAAACTTGTTATTGCACATGGGCAGCTGAAAGGTAATGATCGTATGCACAAGAGAGTTGATGGAGCCACTGACCCAGGATGTGATGGCCAAACTGCTACACAGTCTTCCATGCATGATGGCTGAATATCGCAGAGGGTCACACACAGCCACATAGCGGTCATAAGCCATCACTGCCAGTAGAACAAATTCAATGCCACCCAAGGCCAGGGAGAAAAATAGTTGAGCTGCACAACTCAGAAATGGGATTGCTTTATGTTCTGCAAGAAAATGCACCAGCATCTGAGGGACTATGCTTGTAGCATAAGAGACATCAACAAGGGAGAGATTGGTGAGAAAGAAATACATGGGAGTGTGGAGTTGGCTGTCCAGTCTGATCAGAAGAACAATGAGAAAGTTCCCCAGCACTGTGACCAGGTACATGACCAAGAACAGGGCATAGAGGGAGACTTGAATGTCCCAGTCACTGGATAGGCCGAGGAGAATAAATTCACTCACCCACGTCTGGTTATATGTTCCCATTAAAAATGTGAGGATTATTATCTGAAGAAGGAATCAGAAAAAAACCAAGAGCTATTAAAGAATCATAAGAATAACTTCAGAAGAAGACATACTGTACACACTAGACAGCCCTCTCGTCTATCACTAGATCATACATGAGGCCAAGTTGACAGCCTTGATCTCAATATGCTTTATATCTGCTGTCTTCTTGAGAGAAAGCTAGTGACTTCAGAAGAGTTTGATGTGTCTCGGTGATGTCAGGAATGTGTGTAGGAAAGATACTGAAATAATAGGAGTTCTGCCTCCTTACCAATTACCTCTGTTCCCAGGCAAGACAAGTGTGGTTGTTGACAACAGTAGGTAGAATGGTAACCAATGAAGATGACAGAGTTGGAAAGTTTAAAAACTACCTTAAATATATCAACTAGATCCATCTATATGGACCACATTATTCAATTACAAAAAGAATTGTTCACAAAGGTGAGGGGATCTTGTGGAAAGATCTAGAATCAGAAAACCTAAGTTTGAAATCATATTTTATCTAGAAGGTATATGATTTTTGTTTAATGGTAGATTTCATATAAAACAGGCTAACATTAAATAACTCACAAATACATTTAAGCTTAAATGTACATAATTTATTGTAGAATATCATGTGTACTGTTATAGGCAGTATTATTATAGTACTATGGGTGTTTAGTAAGATGAGTTCTGTCTTATGATAAAGTAGCTAATGTAATTTATTTTCACACCACTTTCACAAAAGTAGACATAAACAACTGGTGGTAACCTTCCCTATATCAGAGGGCTTGACCTCTTTGCATATCCACTGGTCTTTCTGATAGACTTTGCTGTCTTCATCCACTGGTGGGATGGGGTGAAGACATTTTATTGGTATGCATTTCCTTGTATTTTTCTCTTTTCAAGTTGCTGCTTAAGAGTCTGTCCTTTAGATATGAGTTTAAAGGGAAGCAAATAAGAATACAGATTCTTCAATTTTTTTGGATGCCAGGGATGAAGGCAATGTAGATATTTCAGGACTCATCTTCCTCGGAATAAGGCATAAATTCATGCAGATGACCATTGAAATGAAGATTGCTTTATTCTTAGTTTTGCTCAGCAAATAGATTTAGTTTCCATGCACAGACATCTATAATGTCTCTGAGTTTATAAAATTAAGCTTATCATAAGCAGAGCGATTCCACACAACCTAAATTCTAGTCTTGTCCTATTTCTAATTTATATTTTATGAAATGCAGTATTCATCACCATGCTGAGTGTTTTAAAGCAAAGAATTTTATTAAAACCATTTGCTAATAAGTAAATACCTTTCACTGATATATTAGTCAGTTACTTTTTTTTTTTTTTTTTGACAAGGCAGAGTTAGTGAGAGAGAGAGACAGAGAGAAAGGTCTTCCTTTGCCATTGGTTCACCCCCCAAATAGCCACTATGGCCGGCGTGCAGTGCCGATCCAAAGCCAGGAGCCAGGTCCTTCCTCCTGGTCTCCCTATGCGGGTGCAGGGCCCAAACACTTGGGCCATCCTCCACTGACTTCCTGGGCCACAGCAGAGAGCTGGACTGGAAGAGGAGCAACCAGGACAGAACCGGCGCCCCAACCGGGACTAGAAACTGGAGTACCGGCACTGCAGGCGGAGGATTAGCCTAGTGAGCCGCGCGCCAGCAAGTCAGTTACTTTTAACCTATTGAGGTTGCTATTTATTTCCAAGACTGCTGTTTTATTCTGAGTAATTAGTATTCAAGCATACCTTTTGTATACACTTACATAGTCCCTCTGTGTACTCTTAACGGATAAAGAAAATAGAAGTGTGGTGTGCAGAAGCCAAATGGAAGAGGAAAGTTGTGCAATGCAAATGACTTTAATGTACCTAGAGTTAATATTTTCTCCATATTGATTGGATTTCCATCTAAATAGAACTCGATTTCTGTTCTCATTTAAGATTAAAGAAAGGCCCAGGTGCCAGATAACACATTTCATATCTACCTATCTACTAGGAAACCAGAAATTAATCTTAACTCTGATTTGTAGGTTCTATAACTGTCCTTAAACTTCTGTTTTTCATCAAAGTCAAATAACTAAAGGAAAATGGTGAGAATATGTGTTTCATTTTTTCGGTGCAAAAGACAACAAAAACCTGTTGATATAGAGTTAGGTCTGCACTAGCTGTGCAAAACTAATGATGAGCAATGAATATAGCTAAGAATCGATTCTATTTAGCTCTTCCTCTTGTTCTAGTGTGACTCACATTCTCATCTTGTATTTGTCCAACTGCAGCCACTAGGCTCTGCTTTCAAGTACTTAATGCTCCTTTAATCAACAGTACAAGTCTATTTCTATTTTACATTCTTTGGATCCTGTCATCCTCACACTTAACAGATCTCAAACAACATCTCTCTAATTTGTTTTAAGATTTCTTGGTCTCCTTAAAAATAATAATCCAGAGAATCTGAGAATGCTTTCTCAGAACATAGCATTGAGGGATGACATAGCCCTGTGATTCATCTCCTTCAACATGAACACCATGAAAGAGTGCTGACCTCCTGCTTTTGCTTTGTGAACTGTGTGAACGTGAGGCAATTGCTGTGGCCATAACATACAAAAAAACACGATTTCATGGAAATATTCCTTAATGCCCTATAGTTAATGCTTAGAATTTATTATAGTTATGTTAAGCATTGCCTTTGTGAAATGTTTAAATATGAAACAATGCTAAATGGAAGATCATAATATAAATTATAATCTTATTATGAACTAGTACATCAACTTACATTAAAACTTTAAACTAGTTCACATACAAGTAGGAAACAAGTTTCAGATGAAAATGATGTGGAAATTGTAGGAAAAGTCACAGAAGAAGTATGGGCAGAAAAGATAAAGTTTTCACAGTTAAAAAATTTCTATTGGACTGGCAAAGTCAAGTTGACTAACACACGTATTACTTCACATACTTAACATTTTTTTCTGCTGAGGACAGTTAAAATCTACACTAGCTAAAATCTACCCTAGTTAAAACTACCTCTCTTTGCCTTTTCCTGTTGTCCAGCAATGGTTAGTCACAGCATTCATCATGACTGAAATGTTCTTTTCTGTATGACAAAGAAATAAGACAAAAAATAGGTGTTTGGATTCCTCATGCAGTTCTTTTCATATGACATAATGTATCTAATTTAAAAGTTAAATTATAGTCAATAATCTTTTTTAAATAAATCAGATCTATTCATTAACTCCATGGAAATAATTGTGTTTTCTTTACTGTGAAAATGAGTTTAAATTAAACCATATTAAATGTTGTTTCCATTGTATTCTACCTTGATGAATTAACCCACTATTATTCTTCTTACTATTTCAGCATCCTTTTATATTACACCATCTTCAACTTAAAACATATGTCACTTGACAAGATGAGAATTGTAAAACTCTGAGAACCATCCAGGCTGATGTTAACTCCAAGACTAGCCCATATCTGGTTGGGGTAAGTAAAAATTTGGATTTTCCTGAGTTGGGTTTCTGGTCATTCATCTGTGAGCCAAATAGCTCCTTCCATACATCATAGACTGCTCTAAAACTGTATTTTCTCTCTCCCCCTTTTGAAGCAACATCAGAGAAGTAAAAATCTTATGTAAGCATATTTCTTTTTTTTGTTTGTATTTGTATATTATTTGAAAGACAGTCTAAGTATAGCAAATTAAATGTTATTTTTCAACCTAGTCTACTTTGATAAATTCACCCAGTATTATTTTTCTGACTATTTCAATATCTTATTACATTATAACATTCAGATAACCATCCTAGCTGACGTTAACACCTCATAGAGAGGTAGATAAACAAAGAACTCCCATTCACTGGCACACCCCTGTCCCAAAATACTTGCAATAGCCCACTTTTAGGATGGAACCAAAGCCGGGAACTGGGAACTCGGTCTAAGTCTCCCATGTGAGTGACAGGAACCAGTCACTTGAGCCAGCATCACTGCCTTCTTGAGTGTACAAGTAGGAAACTGTAGTCAAGAGTAGAGCCAGGTATTGAACTCCAGCACTCTTTTGTGGTACGCAGTGTCTTAACTTCTAAGCTAGACACAAACCCTCATCCCAATTTAAACATATTTCTAATGGCAAATTTTCTGACAATAATTTTTAGCAACATTTGTTGTAAAAATTAGGTATCCTTGAAACATGGAAATTGGGCATTTCCCAACTCATCTGTTAAAATTTATTTAAATTCTAAACAGTTGATTTTCCCAGATGGGAGTCCCATCTATGATGAACTCCCTACATCTCTGCAGAAATCCCAAGAGGAAAGGATATAACCACAATTAACAATATGACTGTAGAACATAAACTATCCTTTCAGCTTTACACCATACCTTCCCATATTTTAGCTCTAATAAAAATTGTGATACTCTGAATGAACTCTGTTCATCAAGAAAAGATGGCAAATCTGATCCATAGACAAATCAACAAACATTGATAGAAATTTTCAATACATTACTTGTATTTCTTTGGAAGTATCTTCATATGATGCTGTTCACATTTCTCTTATTATTTTTTAATTGCATGTAGATTTCATTGATATTCCATGGACAAACATTTTAAAATGTTCCATTTACAATTTCGAGAAAACAAGTTTTCAGGGCTATATTTTCTTATCTTCACCCAGAAAGTATATTATGAATTTAAAATAATGTAAAATTATTTTCTACTTGTATTAGCTGAGTTATTCAATAAATTATATTGTCCATTTTTCTCTTATTGGAAAGACAGAATTAATGATTTGGAAAGACTGCGGAGGTATGTACACTATAGAAATTTTCCTCCATGTCTAAACCTTCAGAAATACATTTCATAATGGTATTTATTTATAGTATTCATGTCAATTCAAGAGTGCTTGATTGGATACAATTTCAGATTTACCTCAAGAATCCAAACTCAGAAATCATGAATCCATTATGCATAGGAGGGAATTTTTAAAGATTTATAAAAAATACATATTATGAAAAAGCCTTGCATGGATTTCATTTTTTTGTATAAAACAAACATATTTTGATTCCATTTTTCCCTGAAATTTTTGAAACACTCTATATTACAGAGAGGATGCCCTTTATCATAACATAGATGATGACCTACAGCAAAGGAATGAAATTCCAAAGGCTTTTTGTTTTGTTTTTTTTTAATATGTTCATGCATCACCTTTGGTAACCTGTCATTAATTCAATCATATTTTGCCTTCTCATTGGAGACCTGTACGATCTCATCTGAGACAAATAGAGTGCTAAACACAGAAGCAGAGTACATGAAAATAAGTCCAGCCATCTTCATATATTTTTCAATCATGCTGGTCAAAGATAAATCAGAATCATACCTTTACATGGTTGAGCTGTCAGTGGAAATGACATTTTCATTTAGAAGATGATTCATCTGCCGTAGAGCTGAATACCTGTTTAATGTGCAGACTGAATGGATCCATCATTGACAGAGAGATTTTCATCATCCTAACTTTTGGAAACAGATAACTATATGGCCAATTGTGTGGGTGATATATCAAAGATGTTTAAAGGTCCTGAGAAGGCAATTAGCTTTTCATCTTTATGGCTTTGTTTTCTTTCCTGTCTTGATTTTATTGCCTGACTTTTTATATAATATGATTCCAATTATTAAGACTCAGTTTCTCAAACCGTGTAATACCAAAGCTTACTTTTAGTGATATGCTTTATTATGTTCTCATTCTGTAAACGATCACCATCTCTATATCTCTCATTCCCTGTAGTAAAGGCTAGAGTATTATTTTGCAGTACAGTCCTCTCACTCTAGCAAGTTTCTGTGGTGAAATTCCCACAGCTCATGCAAGAGGAACCATTCCTGAAATGAGAGTCAGGAGACCTTAATCCATGTTTCAGTTCATGATCTAAGAGCCACATGACTTTAATTAATCTTACACTTCAAATTTCTATCATTAAAATGATCATCAAATCATTTTATATACACATGGTTAGGGTCATAATTTGGATAAGAGACATTGAAGCAATTGACAGTATATATTTTCTGTAAATGGAATAAACCCTTACAAGTTCACGGATATAAATCAATACCTAAATGAAGGTTTCATTCATCTTGGTTTACTCTCTACGTATATTTTCCCCATATGATGCAGAATTCTTCCATGATATCTCCAAGTTTTATTTAATAGCCATTCTCTTTCCTCAGCCTCTGCTTTACACACTCTGTTTCTTTCTTTCTGCCAGTTATGTAGTTTGGAATTGAAAAACTTATTCCATGATATTGGCCTAAGCTCTCAGATTCTGAAAACTTAATTATTTTCCTATATCAGTTACAATATTTAGGTGAGAAGATTTCACCATTCATAGTTCATATCCCTGATCCAAAGTCCTTAGCAAATCAGATCAGTGCTCTTTCTACCCCTGTATTAATTTCTGTTTATAACCAACCTCTATGGACAGCTCAGTGAAGAGCTCTGTTCTATTAATTCAAATCTGACAAAATGGGCATGATGACTTTAGGATTAAACTGATTTCTAAAGGGTGCTCCCTAACAACAAAACGGTGGACTGTAGAGTTTAAATGTCCCTGATTCCTTGCCCTCTGTTGCCCCAAAATCATGTGGGACTGGTTTTGACTTGAAAGGAAGGAAGTTCACAGGTGCTCCCAAGTTGGCTCATCCAACACTGAACTAATGAGGTGAAATAGTGGCTGCACTGGCAATGTGGGGCTCACAGATTCCCACAGGAGCTTCATGCTTTAGAGTGTTAATTACTGTCACTACTCTGAAACCTCAAAGGCAGGGCCTGCACATTGCCCTGCCTCTCCCTGTAGAAGACTGTTCTCCGTCCTGCTCCCTTACAAAATGCTACTGAAACCTTATATCATTCAAAAAAAATCTTAGGAGGTAGGTTGGTGAGGTTATAGGATATTCTCCTATAGCCTAAACCACATTTTCAGCCCTCAATCTCCACCCCACACATACCCACACATACCCCTACTAATTAGCAGTCAGTCACTGGGCCTGTATCTGTAGCTACTTGAAAAAAAAGTCCCTTCCACGTTAGTTCCAGGATGTTCTTATTTCTCCTTTGGAGATAAGAATGCTGTGCTTAATTCTGCTGAGATACATGCACAGAATATAAGGGGCTGCTATGATCACTACAGGTATTTACAGCACCCAGTTGAAGTGTTGTGGTATTCTTCAACCCCAAAATAATAACATTGCCTAAGAAGATGTAAGACTCCACATAAAATTTGCAAAAACAGAGTCTTATTATTTATAGGAAGAAACTCACAAAGGAAGAAGATCCTTTAATTAACACAAAACAGTAAATTTTGTTTACTTCTTCAAATTCATATTTGTATGAAGATATTCAATAAAATTGAGAGAACACAAGTATCGCTGCATTCTCTGATATATTCTTTATGCATCATGCACTCAACTGAATCAGTTATCCATTTATTTATTCATCTACAAAGTGGAATGCCTGCCTATCCCTCTGCACCGCTGTATGTAACTACTTATGTACCTATCACAGTATCAACTCTCTTCATTCATTTGCTTTTCTGCTCATCCTCCCCTTGATGCAGTCTTTCATCCACTCCCAACTCATTATTTACCTAATGTCCATAAATTACCGACCAAATTATTTCTACTCATCCTATATAGCACCCATTATCTATTCACTAATTTATTCACCTGTGTAGCCATTCCTTCTTTTTTTTCTTTTTAAAGATTTAGTTTGAAAGCCAAAGTTACACACACACACACACAGACACAGACACACACACTATACACAGAGACAGAGAGAGAGAGAAAATCCTCCATCCACTGGCCACAGCCATCTAGGGCAGGGCCAGGCCAAAGACAGGAGCCAAGAGATTCATCCAGGTCTCCCACATGAGTGGCAGGGATTAGGTACTTGGGCTCTTATTTACTGCTTTCCTTGGCCATTGGCAGAATGCCGGATCAGAAGTGGAGCAGCTGGAACATGAATTGGCACCCATGTGGAATGCTGCCATCAGAGGTGGAAACTTTTACATGCTACTCCACAATGCTGGCCCCTAACCATTTCTGATGTTGCGGCATACAATGTCTTTGACAAAGTTTCTGGAATAGTCTAGGAAATAGGAAAAAGGAGAGATTGTTTTCATTCTGCATCCAAAATTCTGAACTCCAGTAGAATTGAAAGAAATGGTTGAGATTTTCTGTACAGTTATATTGGTAAAATTTCATGGCTCTGAGGGATGTATTCGCAGAACCTGGAAGTTCATATTACCACAGTTTATCTCCATTCTTCTGCAGACCACAAAGATAAACTCACGAATTCTCTTCCACAGCATTCTCTGTCACTATTACTCAAAAACCTGGGAAAATTTTCCTTCTCATTCAACCTCTAAGTCAGGTCTTACTTTTAAACAACTCTCAGAACTTCCTTTCCATTATTGCTACTTCTGTCCTCTTTTATTTCAGCATT